TTCGCGATCGTCCCACCCACCTGCCAGGATCACCTCGAAACCGCCAATCTTTCACAATTCGAGTGTCCTAGAACAATGCTGTTCTGAAGTACCCTCCTCCAGTTTCGGATCTCGGGTCGCTGAGAGTCAGCGTCTCCAACTCTTCTATAGTAGGGCGATCTGGTCCAAGGCGTCCAACTCTTCTGATGTCAATTCTGGTGTCCCTGCACCTTCACCGATGAATCCAGGAAGTCTCATTTCGTCTTCATTTGTTTGGTCTGTCCACGTAGTCCGTTCCTCTGCGGTGAACTCGCCCTCGTCGACTTGAAACGCATAGTCCAGACTCTCATCTTCATGATAGAACTCAAGGCATCGCCTTTCTCACAAAGCCAGGACTGCTCCTGTCATCTCTTTTGACTGACTGGGCTCTGCAAATCGCGCGAATTTTTGCTGGTTCTTCCTCTCTTGCAATGCCACGCGTACTCGCCGCGCTTCTCTCACCCTCCACATGTGGTTGCTGAAGATGAAGTCCGGGAGGTAGTGGAAGTTCCATGAGGCAAGGTCAGATGACGCCCCGCCTCTCAAAGAATTTTCCTGCTGGAACATCAGCTTCATCATCGAATGTGGATTCTCTTGAGCATACTGTATCACCTCTGCTGCTTCATCGTCTCGACGATGCGCTGGTTCTCTTCTTGGTCATACGCCGTCTCCTCTTGCTTGTCGTCTATCTTGTCGGCTCCACCTCGAACACCTGGATGTAGCATAGGGATGGGTGTGGGCGGTTGCTCTGCCATTTTGACTTGTTTGCGCACACTCTTTCTCAAATCCCATGGGCCAACGCACATAGGAATCAGAAAATCTGCATTCCCCACATCTGCTCTCACTGCCTTGCTTCTAATGATTTCGTTGCTGTCCACCACCACAAGGTCATGGTCAGTGGCATCCTTCCCAATCCAACATCCTTTTCCCGACTGAGATCTGTACTTCTTCTCGATCCCGTGTGAGGTTGTCCTGGAAGACTTTGGAAAGCTGTCACTCCAGCGGTGCTGCTGATATGAAAGCGGTTCAAAAGCCATGAGCCATGAAGCAAACCCCAACTATGTAGCAAATGTTCGTCAGGGACTTTGCAACCCAATTGGTCCTCCAAAGCTGCAATGAGAGTCTTCTGTTGGCCTCTCACTGTTTGCACCATTCTCTCAGCCGCATCCCTTGTCATGGTATTTGCCGGGTTCCAGCACAGTTTCCATGCCACTATTCTTCCTGATGGTCTGGGCCATACGAGCTGCTGCTTGTAGCACTGGCTCACTGTCAAACGCCAACTCGACTTTCTCAAAGTAGCCAAGCTGACCGGGCACACCCTGGTTTCGATTCTTCAATGGCTCAACTTGCACCCATTTGGTCCATGCGTCGCGCATCAACCAACCATCAAGAGTAGACAGTCTCCTTGTCCACTCTCGTTGCGCTTGCCTGCTGCGCAATGAGGGCGCCATGCCTTGCACACCTCCTGCGGCGCGCTTTCTCGAGCTGTTGGTTGCTTTGGTGCATCACGAACACGTGGCGAAGGCAATGCCTGTAGAAACTGTTCACGCGCCACTTCAACTGATCTCCTTCTCTAAGCTTTAAGGCATGTCTCCGTCAAACGTTGAAACATTCTTTTCTTGCTTCCCGAACAACTCACCTTCAGGAATGTTGCAGCTGTTCGCAAACCTTTGACAGAACTGCGCTCTGTCAGGACCAAGTCGCCTATTTCCAACCGTTCATCTTCACCAAAACCCGGCGATCAATTCTGGCGCAACTACATGATCTCGGATGCCTGCACCCTGGCTCACCAGGCTCGTAGACATTCTCAATGACTTCACCTCCACTGTCAAGAGGGTCGCCGAAAAACTTCCAAGCTCCAATCTTTGTCTGACATGACCGTCAAGATCAAGCACTGTTCACCTTGCCCATAGCTGTCGATGTCAGGGGTTCTGGAAAATGGTTGTTCGAAATCAACATATCCTTCCAGCACCCTCTCGACGACTGCTGGTCTCGGACCGACAAATCGTGCCAAGCGTCTTCGCGAAAGCCTTGTCGTCCAGGATGTCCCAAACACCAAGCATCTATCATTCTCGTACTTCTCACGCGCTTTCACAACTGCACGAATCATGTATGGATTGTCCTCATCAACTGCTTCAACTCGTAGAACTCCAGTTTGAACAGGCACTCATACATCACGGGAACCTGAAGTGTACAGTCAAGGCTCTCCAGATACATCTCATATCGCTGCCAGCGTTGCGGATTTCTGCAGAGCTCACCAAGACTGAGGATACATGTTTTCACTCCCCCAATCACGAGCTTGTACTCCAACTCTGCTTCTGTTCCATCACGGTCCGTCACCATCAACGATGCTTTCCTCGCGCCGTGAACTGCAAGCCGTCCACCTTGGCAATCTTGTAGGCGTAGGCGTTCACCTCCTTCGCCCACATGCTCTCCAAATGGCAAGGGTAGAAGAGAAGCATCAGACCCTGAGTCCGAGATAACCGCATTCACTCATTATTGCGACACACCCACTTGAGGAAGATGCGCCGATCTGAAAGATTCTCCTCACTGGTGTAGTTGCCGTCAGAGTTGTAGTCAATTGACCTGAGGAAGGCATAGACCGTGAAGGGGATGATCAAACTGAAGCTTGCTCTTGCGCCTGGCCCACCTTCTGCGGGCATGCTTTCGACCTAGGCCCAAAACCATGGCTTAGTTTGCCGCGTACTTTAGCCTTTTCCTTGCTTGCCCTTGTTCTTGCCTGGGTTCACCAAAACTCAGCCAACTAACGAAGCTGAGTTTCCATGAAGTGAACTGCATTAGGGTCTTCTCCGCTGGATCTTCGAAGCTGCTTGGAGACCGGCCCTTGCCTCGAAGGCTGAGCTAACGCAACTCAGCAGCAAGATGATCCTCACCTGTTGTTTCATCTCAAAACATTTCAAACGCTGCCTCTTCCTCACTGTTCTTTTCGATGACGTTGAGGTCAGGCTCAAGTGGCTCATTCCGATGGCCAGCATCAACAAAGCCACATTCCCCAAGACCTGAATCATTGCCCACGCAAGAACTGACGCCGCCTTCATCAAGACGTTCCAACATGAACTTGTGCGTTGCGAAGTCCACGAAGGCCAAGATCCTGTTCTGAGCTGCCAGGATCGATTCCACTCCATCGTAAGTCATAGCGCTTGTTCATGAATGCCAAGCACATATCCGGGCTCACGATGTCCTGAATCATGGCCTGGTCGCCAGCACACTGGTCAAAGACCTCCGCAAAGAATGCTAAGCACATAATCTTGGCAGCGGTGAAGATCTGCTTCTCATTGTGGTTCAACAAGTAGCTCACTGCCATCACCTTCAACCTCTCCTTCGTCGTGACTTCTTGGTTCACGTTCAAGGTTGCCGTGAACTTTGCTCATTGGGACCGTGTTTAGAGCCATGTCCACTCCACCTTCCACGCCAATGCTCCTGCTCTTCTCGTCTAGCACCATCCATCCACGTCGCCCTGTTCCACGCCAGGATCCCCCCATCCAGCCTCAACATCCATGGCGCACCATCCACGTCACCCTTGATGACGAATTTGAGATCCTCAAAGCCCACGGCGATCGTCTTTTGGTCCAAGGAGCTCGGCTGAGGACACGCCACGCCACCATGGCTACAAGCAGGAGGATTGGCAGCTTCATCGCCTTGGGTAGGGGCTCCGCTACCATGACAAAGTCAAGAGTCACGCTCTTTTACATCCTCGGGCCACTCGTACAGCGGTTGGTTCACTTCACGTCTTGTGTGTGCGTCATCCTTGTCACGCTCAAATCTGACAAAACCAAAAAACCACAGAAGCCACAGAAACCAAAAGCAAATCCATACCTACCATGAAATTTTGGCTTTTTGAATTCATTCCCCCCTCCTCCTGGACTCCTCGACACCCCTAGCGCTCACTTCGTTCGCCAAAGAAACGCCAGCTGGGAAAAATTCCCGGAAAACGGAGAGATGCGTTTGTTTGTTGAATTTGTGCGTGTGTTCCGGTTGTTGGGCATTCTGGCTTTTGTTATTGTAGGTGTTTTGTCTTTCTGTCTTTGTCCTTAAAGGGAGCGAAAAAGCTGCACAACGAGCGCGCTGTCAACAGAGAAGTGGAAACAAAACATCGTAACTATACCAGCCTAGGCTCCTGACAATTTTTTTGCAAAAATTGTTGTTGCGGGCGGCCGCAGCTCCAGCTGGCTCGGGAAGCAACGTAAACAGCACAACAGCAGCAGGACAACAGAAAGACGGACATGAGGAGGACAACACAGGGCAACGGAAGGAAAACAACACGAGGGCAAGAGAAAGACAAGACGACGACGGCAGGAGCGCGAGCGGAGATAGGCTGGCGGAGGACCGGGCCGAAAAGATTGCGACAAAAGGAGAAGAGGAGGTTACTATGAGAGACCGGCAAGAGGACAACAGGAGGCCAAGGAGAGGACATCGGCTTCTGAGGTTGCCTTCTGGAGTTGCCGCACTACTGCCTCACTGTTTTGTGGCGCGCGTTTGCACGCACGCTACTGGATCTTCGCGCTTGCCGGCTGGCCCTTTCCCACTAGTAGGCACCACACAAGGCTTGCGCGAGCGCATTTGTTTTCTCGCGTTGGACCCTTTGGACGACGCTTCGCGCGCGCACGCTGTCACAGGCCAAGAGCTGGAACATTAAAAAGGACAACAAGAGGATGGAACATTAAAAAGGACAACAAGAGGACAAGGACTGGAGACCGGCTAATAACGCGGCCAACAAGAAGACAACACGCGGAAAAGTGGAGGACAAGAAGAGGTCACACGTGGCAAACTACTTGCGATGAAAAGAGTTCGCGCGATGAGGTAAAAGCACAGGAAAAGCTACGACTGGGATGGGGGCTTCACAGAGAAAAGATGATTTCTACATATGTATATCTATATATGTCTTCATATACACCTGAAAAAGGGGGAGCATAAAAGTTGTCTGTTCTAGCTCCTTTGGCGTCAGGCGCTGAGTTTGGTGCCTGTGCCCTTCTTCGTCAAAACGAACAATTCGCAGACCCGAATGCTGCGCATCGGCAAAGAAGGGAGGATCTCCCACACACCTCAGACTCAAAAAACAATACTCCAAAAAAAACGGGAATAGTGATGGGCCAGTGTGTTCATTCACTTGGCTACCAGCCTCTCAAAATCAGGCCTTATGGAAGTGGCCACCACCTTGGAGCTCAAGCGCCACACATGACACCCCACCCGCTGCCCACGCAGGCTGTCAAGCTGTCAAGCTTGACATCCTCGGCCGCTCCGCTTTGGACGAGCAGACCGTCCCTACACGACCGCGGCCTACGGCCCGGCTCGGCGAATCAATTCCCACATCGCGCGCGCTGCACGTTGGCGCTGCGCCTCTCCGCTCCGAAAGCAGTTTCTGCGCCCAGCCAAACCAGACTTGGCCCCCGTTTCCTCTAGTCCAACATTCAGACCGTCGCTGGATAGATTTGTCTCGCCTCCATGACCCACGAACGCAAACAAGAACGGTTCTTGCGCCGCTGTTTTGTGGGCCCAGCGTATCACTTCTGGACATTCTCAAAACAAACACGATTGAGCGCAACTAGGAGAAGAAAGGGCTTGGAGCTTGTCTGTCCGCTTTACATCCTCCCTCCCTCCTTTTTGGCATCATTCCTGACTCACTTTCTTTTGATGCTCCCAGCTTCTCCATGCGCATGGGGGGCCAATCAGGAGTTGGGCCGTTGCAGGCCCACCCCTCATAATGACTTTTCATGCCCCGTTGAAAGTTCTGCAACACGCAGCCTCTCCTTCATCATCATGTACGTTCACCGTCCTCCCGCACACCAAACAGATCACAAAGTCCAAGTTCGGAGACTGCTTCAACGCAACCACACATCGATGGAGACAGAGAGGGCATGGCCAACAGTGCACCTGTACCTGTAGGCCTTCTTGCTTCTCAAGAAGGTCGTGCGGGAAGCCCGAGTCGTCCATGCACTTTGCTTTGGGCTTCAACACGCCAGACGCCAGGCGCAGCGCCCTCTTTGCCCAAAGCTCCCCGCGCAAGCCGCCTGCTTTCTCCGGCAGCTATGGACCAACATCAATGAAGCCACTTTGATCACCGTTGATCGCCGACCTGGCATCGTGCCATCCCAGCCACACCGAACGGCCGAAAAGGAATTCCACACTTGATCAGCGGATCGACGAGCGCAGCATGACCTCAGCCTGTGGGACCTCCCAAAGAAACGCCAAGGCGTTTGCTAAAAATTACGCCAACATAGACTCCAAATAACACAAGATTAAGATATTTGTGGACAGCACCCTGACAAGCACCAGGCTCCAAAGCACACGAGGCCATCCACATCTGGCAGCACACCCTGCAGCCGCACCAGCGCTCAGGCTCCAAAGCGCACACGGCCACACATCTGGCGGCGGCACTGCGTCTCTTCCTATACTTGAAGCAAGAACCCCTTCAACTCTCGCTATATTGAGAAAAACAACCTACTTCCCGCTGCAGTGGGACATCACGGACACTCAGTTCGCAGCGCCCGGATTTGCAGTCCAATTGATGTTGGTGCCAACACCAGCACAAGTTACGACCTTGTCGCGGTGAGTCCATGGAAATGAGGATTGCATCAGCAGCTACATGTCTAATTCAAGGCCATTCGTAATGAACGAAGCACAGTGCTAGCTTGACCTCAAGGTCATCGTCCACCGCAATAGCATTGCCATGATAATGACCGCACAGCCAAAGCCTGGTAGAACGCTTGCGAATGGAGCGCAACAGCATTCACGCAGCTTTGACCACGGCCTTACACCAGCATCTTTCGCCAGCTTCACGATGCGCTCTCTCGGTTCAACTTCCCAATTTGCCCAGCCTTGCCTCAGACTCATAACGTTGATTTCTCAATACGCATTCCCTCCACACACAAACTGAAGGCTCAGGCGGTTCCTTCGGTTCTGCGATGAATGGAGGAACGTGGCTCAGAACTACTGCGTGCTTTGGCTGCCTCGAACACCGAGCAGTCTGAGAGCACATCAAAACACCACAAGTCTTTCCGACTTTCCCACGCCTTTTCTTAAGAGCTTCAAACTGAGCTTCAATCCATGCGTCCTGTGGAACATTGTGGAACACTTTGGATGTTTAATGATCCCTGCAAATATCAGTGACACTTTGTTCCGACATGTTGCAAGCCTGGTCTTTTCGCTGCATCTCTGTTTTCGACGAATCCATATAGAACCTGCCGTTGCAAACATGGTAAAGAGTTTCTCAAACACGCTCCAGACCGCAACTCCAATACCTACCCCCCCATAGTAAGGTCAAAAGGATGTCCTGACATTCACATACTTACTGAAGACATTTCAAGGACAACACAGGCAGCCAAACATTATCCAGAATCGCACAGGATACTGAAGAAAAATGCAAACAGTATGTTACACTTGCCATCGAATCGAAGCGATGGCAAAAGGCGTCACAAGGCTACCCTGAACCCTCCAAAGAAACGCTCACACCAACACCTCACCACGTTGAACAAACTGCACACTCCCTCGCAAGCCGTTGAAGTTCAAATGGCTTGCTGCCTGGTTGCAAATTGGATAAGTTGTGTCTCGGATGGCATTCTGTCCAAATCTTCTGTAGATGTTCAGGCAGCAGGACTAGACTTGTTGTCAATCTTCTCAATTCCCAAGCATTACGACGTTACACGCGACACAGGGCGACGAGTCAAGGCTAGGCTCTCTGGGCTTGGGACAAACCTTCTCTTTTGGATAGGCAAGAATGCCAAACATGACAGCGATACTGAGAATTCACAACCATAAAGTAGACGCCACCGACCTGGCATTCCACTTGAAAGCAAAGGAAGAAAATGCCCATTGTACTGTAGAAAGGCTGGAGACCCAAAATGAGAAGTAGTCGTCACCTTGGCGAGAAAAGACTTACAGTCCATCTGCTGCAAATATGATGTTGCCTCTTGATGTTATCATATCTTCTCATCCATATAAATCAGTGCCATTTGCCTTTCAGATTCGGTATTGGGGTATGGACCCCATCTCGAGCGATATAAGTCTAGCTCATTCGGGGTTGGAACCTGAGCACTGAAAAGCATGGAAAAAAAATGTGGCACACGCCCTCATTCGCGCTGGCACCAAACACTTGTTGAGATGTCTTACTGCAAGCTCGTCTTAAAGAGATGTGGTTCACTTTGCCGCTTGATTGTAGTCTCTGGGCACAATACCAAAGAACAAAAGAAACAAGCCAAAGCCATCAAACAAGCAAGCTATAGCTGCTTCATCGAGAGTTTTCATGCACTCAACTGCATGCGGCCTGCCCAATATCGTGATTGCCTGGAACCTAGGTTGTGGCAGCGCCAAGCGCAAGAGGTTATCTCATCTCGTTCACACCATTTAGCTTTGGGCGAAAACAATTGGGATAGAACTGTCCACTTCGCGCAGAACCTGACAAGGAACCACAAAAAAATACAATACCAGGAAAACATTTGCGTGCGAACGGCATGGAGCTGACCTCCTTGACAGCCACCACCTGCTTAGCAGCACTTGCAGGGTCTGCCTGCGGCCCCACAGGCCATGCCTTGGTGTAGACTTGACCCCAATTTTAGAAGCAATCCAACCTATATAATATAAGAGCAATGGCCTCCAACCTACTAGCGATGGCCTCCAACCTAACGCTTCCTTAGAAACACAACTCAAATGGATTTCAATTACTAAAGTCTTCACATCGACTCGCACATAAGTTCCGCTGATGAAAATCACAATTATGTTCTCCCAAGGCACATTGGTTAAGTCGCCACTTACGAGCAAAAAGCGCGGTTTGAGCTTGTTGACGTGCTGGACTGCCAGACCTCGAGCGTGTCTGATTGAAGGAATTTGAATACTGAAACTGAAGAAATACAGCATGTTCAACTGGAACATGAATGTGGGTCCAACACTCCTCCTTTGAGTCAAACAACACTCCTCGTTTGTGGGGGCTTACAAGCAACTCTGAGTCTGCTGCTCAACATTGCTTTCTCCTCCAAAATAGAATCTATTCTGCAAACTGAATGTTCTTTGCAAAACAGTGGTTAGTGTATGTTCACAAAGTGTCAAAAATGTTTGCGCAGGCCTCTTCCCATGATCTGTCTCCATGTTTCATGCCAAGCCTAGGCAAAAAAGTCAAGTAAGGTGTCGTAGATTTTTCTAGAAAGCCTATCATCAGCAAAACAAACCCATGCTTTTTCTGAATGGGGCCTTGACCGCACAAACACATCCGCGGCAAGCCACAAACCAATTCCCGAAAATAATATGTGATCAATCCTGCTCTCCACGCCCGCTCATCTCTATTTGTCTGGGTTCGCTGTCCTCTGAATCCCAATTTCTTTCCCACATGCTCAATGTTTGGTTTCCTGTTCGTGTTTGTTCCTTGTTCTTTGCGACCTTTGTGCTTTTCAAACCTCCATGTCCGTCCCATCTCTCGTCAAGAAAGAATCTTTCTTCCTTGTCTGTCTACTTCTCCACCCACCCTTCCTTCCTCCAGTGTTTGCGTCACTTTGCGGCTTTGAAAATCTTTCTACCGTATAGTGCGTATCTGATCTGTCTGAAACCAAAAACTTTTGCATAATTCTGCAATACATGCCAAAGGCAAACACATGGCCAACAAAATACAAATACTTCTCAGATCCTTCCAGGTCAGTCTCGTAACAAATTTCTCCCAGCGCTTCGAGCCCTTCCTGCTTCGCTGAAGACTTAGACTGCTGACTGAGGATCAGCAAGTTGAACAAAACACAGGTCGCCTTGCCACTCGCCTTCCTGCTGCATGCAGAAATCGCGGCTGAAACAAAATGTGCATTGACCCGAACCTCTGCAAGAAATGACTTCAGGGTCTTGATTCAAAGCGGAACTCGCGTTAGCGGTAGCGATGACCGCCAGCGTAGTAGTTGCAGGGTCAAAGTCAGCAAATGTGTTCGTCAATGTTTGCTACAAAATGTTTGCTGTCTGAATGCAAGTGGCATTCGAAGGTTACAGTATTCTGGAACATGTTCAAAAGATGTTTCTTGCGCGCACATCGATGGGTGGGGAGTGGGGACATCATGAAGAGGCTGCCCAACATGGTGCCTTCGAAGCGCCTGCCCCTTGGCCCCATGGGTGGGCTCACACGGAGAGTGGAAGAGTTGGAGCAGCGCAGTTATCCACTGCAACTTCACGAAGGGGAAAACGAATCGTTTCTTGAAGGCGTTCTGCAGTTAGGAATGGTGGGTCCACTCACACCAATACATGTCTCAAGAGCGGTTTTGACGGCAACTACTAGGTGCGTTGGCTAAAGCAACACATGGCCACCTTTTAGCTTTGGAGATTCTCAATTCTCAGGAGGAAGCACCTGACCCGGGAAAAATTACACCAGCTGAGCAGCTTTCTTTGAGTGAATATCAGAGTTGACACATCTTTTGCACGTCCTTTATCTGGCAAAATCCGGGCGGCGCTTGCTCACCGATTTGCAGCCTGTTGAACTCTGTCATGACGTGTCTCCCCTTTCGCTTATTAGTCTCGACAGCGAATATGCTGAGGTCGGGGGCTGGCTGGAAGAACTTTTGGAGAGTGAGGAGAGTTGCTGGAAGTAACACAATACTGGTTACTGGCCGCAGCCTTCAAACACTAGCAGCAAACTGCAAAGGTGTGCACCCTGCAAGTATATGTTCCCGTGTGCCAAGCCAAGCTTGGTAGTAAGCTTGAGGCTGGGGGGTGGTGACGAAAGCTAGCAGGGTCTGGAAACGAGAGGTGCCGAGTAAGGGGCGTTGAGCCCCGCAGTGTGCGGCGTAAATCGTGGTTTGGTGTAAACCGTGGTTTGGAGTAACCGCTGCTTGGTCTAAACTGGGGTTTGTTGCAAAGGGTGTGTGGTGTAAACCGTGGTTTGGTGTAATTGTATAAACTATGGTTGGTGTAAATCGTGGTTCGGTGTATACAAGCCAGGTACCAGGTAGAGAAGAAAGTTTCTGTAGAATAAGCAGGTCATGAGGTATGCTACGAATCGATGGAAAAATGACGCTAAACTAAACGCAGGCAAAACACAGGTGACACGCACACAGAAACACAAGCGAACCGCAGGCGACAAGGGGAGGAGCAGCCCAAGATAAGGACAAGGAACACGATGACGAAGACGATGCGGCGACCAAGACGACGACGAAGGCGACAGTCAAATGACCTATAGCCTATAGTAGATTGTCCTCTCCAAGGCCTCGGTCGAAGGGGGAGTTGAGCCTGGCGAGGGAGGGTTTACACATGAATTATTAACTGGGTAGGTCTTCCATCCGCCAGCCAATGACTTGCTAAAGCAAGAGTAACTCCAGCTAGCTGACGCTAGCTTTCGTGACAAGCACAAAAGAACACGCCGACCGCATAAGCAGATTCAGTGTATTAAGTATTAACTAGGATAATTTTACACCGATAACTCCGGTGAAGAACTTTCATAGTCATAGTCATCCACACCTTGATTACCAAGTAGAACAAAATGAATCCAGTCATATACTGAAAATTATACTGCACGTCTGCCCTGCACGTAGCTTTCGCGATAATTTTGCAATGCTCCTCTGCGATCGTCAGGCCATCAAAGCTTCGGTGATGAGCCTTTCATAGGTGGACCAATACTGCTCCAACCCTGCTTTGTTGTAGAACCAATGGCAAAACCAAGCCTTCCGGAACCGGAAATCGAAAGCTTCCCTCCTGCGCCACAATCTGTTTTCGCGTTGAGAAGAAATTGTCGCACAAAAAAAATCAAGGTCAAGTCGCGTCTCATCAAGCCATGCTTCCAACGAGTCGGCCTTGGTTTGCAACAATGAAACCGAGAACTGCAGCAGCCATCCAAGGGCCTTGTTTGCTTCCCGGAGCACTCTGCACCGTCTTCTCTTCAGGCGCAGACTGGATTGCCATGGCCCAGTTTGTTGTCTTCGGCCAACAAGGCCACGAGATCTGCAGCCTTGCAATCGCACGTCAAAGCAAGCATTGGAAACCAAACTGGTCTTGCAGCCTCATGAGGTTTAGTCTCCTTGGTCTTGCAAAGGTTTAGCCTCGACTCAAAACACTCGTAAATCAATCTGCGACAAACATAAACAGGCAGGGTCGAGAAAAGCCCAGAATGAGGTTCAAACCTTTTACTTGGCAAACAAAGTGTGCAAGTGTCTTTCAACCAGCTGTGTCAAGCAATGCTAAAAGCCTGGCCCGAGAGCACGCGCAACCACGAAGTGGTGCCACGAATCAACCTGCTCCACCTGCAACTTAGAAAGATCCAGGAACCCAGGCGAAAGATAGCTTTGACACCACCGGCCTGGCCATCGATGACATCATCCACCCATTCGCGATACAAGACCCAAAGCGAGATTGGAACCTCCAGCTGTGCACGCACAGCGAATCACGAATCAAGCCCAAGGCCATGATCATATCCAGGGGCGCCACGTGGCGCTGTTCCTCAATGGCCGAAAGCAGCCTCAGCACGCGCAATTTCCATGAAATCAAAACGCTGTGAATCATGTTTGCTGTCACGCACACCAGCCCTCTGAAGGTCAAGCCAAGCATGGCTAGCCGCGGCGCCCTCCTTACATTCGACAAAGTCCTGCCAAGGATTGGACGCCAGTGCTCACGCCGAAACCGCATATTTGACAGGCAATATTTGACAGGCCGAATAAGCAACTTTTGCTGTGCAAAAACTCCAACATGTCACCTCTATAGAGCCTCTACCAATGGTCACATTGCAAAACCGGTGAGCCTCTGGAGGAAGATGTGCAAGATGTACCACTTTCAAGCGTCGTGGCCTGGATTCCCAAGGGCAGCATCGCAAGTGCCCTTCTGCTTATGAGAACACAAGCTGGGAGGCTTCCAGCGGACTTAGATGAAATATGATGAAATGTTTGCATAAACAAACATTGGCCAGCACAGTTTTGGGGCACCATTTTCTTCTGTTTGCATGTGGCCAAATTACGGTGTAAAGCCCAAGCAGCGTCAATTCCAAGATCGTATTTTCCTGTAGTGTCCCAACGGCAGGTGGGACAATGCCATTTGCTCGCAACAGAGACCATGAAAATGATCCAAATAACTTACACTGTACCAGCAGAAGAACTCTTGTATATGGCATACCTGGTTTTTCTGGTTGGGAATGCTTCCTCAGCTTTGCTGGGGACTTTGTCAAGCTCGGCGCAGTCGACTGGCTGGAGATGAGCCACGAAGTTGCTCACACACAATATTGCAGTTGGTATGATGTCTGGCTCGAAAGTACCAATCCAGTTCACCCTCAGTCCTTTAAAGTTGAGAGCTCGGCGCGGTAGGTGGTTCAAACAACGTTTGAGCACATTTTAGGATGTCACGAGTCACAAAACTGTCTTCAGAGGAAATGAAATTGAGACTAACCAGAGGCTGCCACTGAGTTCTTTTGCTGGGGCGTATCGTAGCAAGGTACGAGGTTGGGCGGGAAGTGCAGGGACCTGGAAGCTCTCAAAGCATGCAAGGACCTGAAAAACAAGGGTGTGGGTAGATGTTCTGCGCAAAAGAAATCGTCATCCAGAAACTGCCGAGCGTAACACCAATTGTCATCTAGTCAGCATCCTCTGTTCAGCAATGCCTCCCATCCTTTTGCGTTTAGCTAAACTCCCACAGATCAAAGTCAGGCATTCAACTTAGACATCGTGTCAACTCAACAATACCCTTTTCTCAGGCAAAAGCAGCGCGAATCCATTGTTAGGGCTCCTGGCCTCATTTAAAACAACACGTTGGTTTTTAAGCAAACTGTCTCATCATTTGCTTAAACGCTGACCTTGGGTTCCAGCTGGACTGCCTTCGCAAAAGCACGACAACACCTGGGCACAAAGGATGGGCGGAAGAATAAACACAATAATTTAGAAAAATGATCCCGGCTGTCAGCTAGCCTTGCCCAAGGTCTGCATGTTATGTTCATTCTGCTCAGAATATTGCAAGTCAATCAGGGCACTTGCAGACCTTGATGTTGCTAGCAACAAAAGGGTTGTTTCTGTTTAGTGCCCTGAGGTACACAACATTTACACTTTTCTGCAAGAGATGCATACAGCATGGTATGTCACAGGTCAAGCCAAGAGTACAGTTTCATGTTCAAAACATTCTGCTGCTGGAGCCGATGACAGCATGAAACGTGGCTGACGAAACACACTGAGCTTTCAACAAAACCAATTAGTGATGACCCCTTCTCATAGACAATGCGCTGGTCCAGGTCTTTAAACAAAAACAAAGACATCCCCTACGTACTGCTACTTACTGCTACCTACCGCTACCTACTACTACTACTACTACTATTACTATTACTATTACTACTACTACTACTACTATAAAAACTACTACTATAAAAACTACTACTATAAAAGCTGCTACTACAAAAACTACTACTACTACTACTGCTACTACGACTACGACTACGACTACGACTACCACTACGACGACGACGACGACGACGACTACTACTACTACTGTCTACTACTACTACTACTACTACTACTACCACTACTACTACTACTACTGCTACTGCTACTGCTACTACTACTACTACTACTACCTATCTATCCATCCATCCATCTATCTACCTATCTGTCTGTCCATCTATCTATCTATCTATATCAAAATCCACCTCTCTATGTCTATCTCTATCTCTATCTCTATCTCTATCTCTCTCTCTCTCTATCTATCTATCTATCTATCTATCTAACTATCTATCTATCTATCTATCTCTCTCTCTCTCTCTCTGTCTGTCTGTCTGTCTGTCTGTCTGTCTGTCTGTCTGTCTGTCT